TTAATTAACTATGCTATTCCAACCAAATTCCTCTCATCGGCATTTTCACAAACACCTTATATGCATTAATACTTAAACAAGTTTACCAAGCTTTTAATTTTTAAATGTTTTGCCTAATCAATGTTCAGTCCTACCTAAATTCAATTATTTACCAACAATCAATTTAAACAAAAAAAACTTTCAATACCCACAACATTCCGATTCAACACTTTCAACACAGTACCCACCAACCTAAATAATCACTTAGCTTTCAACATAATATAACAATTATACATAATATAACTTATCTAGCTCAAGCTGTGTCGTGCATTACATGCAAGCTAAGAATGGGGAGAGACTATTGCATGCAAGCTAATAATGGAGAAGACTGGTGCGTTGAGCTGAGAATGCGGAGACAGTCTCATGCGACGCTGAGAAAAGAGAAGAGAAGAGAAGGAGGTTGATGTTGAGAATGGAGACATGATTTGTGATGACGAGGAAGGAGAAGAGAATAGAAGAGGAGAGGAAAGGAGGAAAAGCTTTGTTCGATTACACAGTACTATTGTGTGTGTCATGAGAGTGAGCTAGGGCACTACAGAAAAAAATTTAATAAGAACGACGAGCTCATACTCGTCTATTTTGTTTTAACAGACGAGTATTAAGACCCTTTTTTCTCTGGTTTTCAAAATAGACAAAAATAGGAAATGAAAATGTATCATTTTGTAGTAGTGTTTGCATTACATATCAAACATAATTTGGGTCTCTTTTTACCGCTCTCATTTTACATGCCAAATCTATTTGTTCCTTTATTATTATTATTATTGTTATTTGTTATTGCTACTTATGCTGCACTCCATATGTATATTTTGCACCCATTGATATGTTACATGACCTCGATGACGTTAAATATAACGGATTTTTTTTTTGCCAACAAATATAACGGATATATATAATGGTTACGTTTTCCCTTTCTATTAACTAATAATTACATGCAATTTATTGTGATTTACATATTGCATTGTACTTTGGCCAAAGAAAAAAAAACACTGCATTGTGCTACTTTCACTTTAATTAAATCAAGAAATTAAATTTATAATTTTTAACTACTTTGATGATAAATCTGACATTGAGCAAGAATCTCTCTTTCGTATTTATTTATTCATTTCTGATCGCAAGTTAAGGCAATATGCCAATATCGTATAGATGGTAAAGCCTTTTCCTTTTAGATTTCTTGACAGACACATAATATAACAATCCGGACATATAATTTCTTCCTTTTTTGTGCTTGCTTGCAAATGAATCATGGAACAATTCTCTTGAGGGAATCATTCACACACACACACACACACACACACACACACCTTCTGTTATATTCATCAACCAATACACACATGTAAAACTCTCCTCCGTAACAAGTAGACCACTGGTATAAATAATCATAAAAGAAATAAGAACATGACTCTAAACCACGTCGCTGGAGCTGTGCCGATGGATGCTCTGTCCAACTCCACGGTTGCCGCGGGGCTCGGCCCATGGCGGATTCCGATAGACACAAAGGACAAAGCAGTTACATCTTTCGTGGCAATAGACAGAGGAGGTTGTTTATTACATGTTGGCGGCAATGGACATTATTTGGACCGCATGAAGCACAAGTGTCCGCTGAGCCTGTCCGAGCCCGAAGAAAAGTTGTCCAGTCTAACCTGAAATAAAAGAGCCTAAAAAAGAATGGGCATCTTTAGACTGGGCATTTCATGGGCAGGACATGCTGCCCTGCCCAGGTGGCCCTGCCTAGATTTTTTATATATATATATATATTATAATTTATGAAATAATATTAATATATTACATTTCTTTACCCAAAGAGAAAGTTATCTCCCTCCTCTTTGTAATTTAATTTATTATTGTCACATGTTTGTTAGTTTTCCATTTTAGGGGATCTAATTCTTCTAAAAAAACAATAGTATCTTGCTTTTAATTTGTTCTTCATGAGCTTTATTGGTATATTCTATTGTATGTTGCTATTGTAATGTTAGTTATTTATAAGTCAGTCTTCTTCTCTATGCCATTAACAACTTTTTTTGTTAGAGAATGGAGTTCATACATTACATATTTGTATAAATCAATAATTTTGAATATTTATACAAGACAGAAAACAAGATTGGGGTAGGAGCAAGGAAAAAATTGGGATTTAATTATCTGAATTACATGTTTTATTTTTTTATTTAATTTATATTTAGCTATATTGTATTAATTTTTTATGAAAAAGTTATATGATGAAAAGAAGTCTTTTAGTTGTATGGACTGCTAATTGCATTGTATTACATCATAAGTGTTTGCATATTAAAAGTGGTTATATTAAATTATTATAAGATTATAAGATTTTTTATTTTTCTTTTTACAATTATTTTCACCCTATTTTTATATGGTCTATATTATTCCTATTAGCCCATTGCTTCAGTTTTAATATCCTTTTGCAATTCTTTAGGTAACATTTAATTTTTGCCACTTAAATGGATAATCAAGCTTCTAGTACATCGCCATCTCTGACCCTCAATGGAATATCTCAATGTGCTTCAACCCCTCTTCAATTTTTTCAGATGTTTAATTCTTTTCTCAACTTTCTAGAAATTGATGCAAACCGTTTGAATTTCAAGGCTTTAATTACAATCTTGAGAGTTGTTTTGTTCTAAACATATTATGAATATTATTTATTTGGATATTTGCTAAGACTTATTTTGAGAAAATGTAAAATTATGAAATGTAATTTTCAGGTATGGACAAAAGTTTTTTCTACATATAATATCGGCAGGTCATCACCATTTGGGTAGTGAAACCCGCCTGCCCAGCTCGCCCATGTCCAGTTCAAAATGGTTAGGACTTCTATGGGCAGGACCGGACAGCGGGCTACAAAATACAACTCATTCATCTTCGGGTTAGGCATCGGGTAGGAGTCTTGTCTTACCATGTGCACCCCTAATTTGGCCTGGGCGCCTGCTGCCTTTAAATTTCCCCTACTTTCCAAACCAATTCTTATTGATTCTTTTAATTAATTATTAGATTCTATATATTATAATATGAGTGACAATTTGATATTTTATGAGTAAAATATGTACAGTTTTGATTTTTTTTTTTACAATTTTTCAAATAAAATTATACTAAATTAAGAAGAAATTACACGATTTGAGAGTATTTTTCTTTGAAACATCATAAAAATTTAAAACTTTACCATTTTTTTTTACCTATAAAATATTAAATTGTCGCTTATGTTACGTTGAATTTAGTGATTAAAAAAAGTTTTTAAAAAAATTTGCAAGTGAGACAGAAGGATAATAGTGACCCAAATCCAAATGATTAGCTTTGCTCTGGTGCTGTTCATTCTACATGACATACACCTCCTGTCTTTAATATAAGACCTATTTAATTAATTTGATTAGATTAAGAAAGTTAGGTAAGTTAGTTAATTATAAGAAATGTGACATGTTTTTTCTAAAACACCATAATCATCTTTCTTAATACCCCATCTCCCTCCTCTACTTGATTATAGTTGAGAGAGTATTCACAAGGGTAATTTAGAGAAAACTAATAAATATAAGAAGTGTGTCTTATATTTAGAACCAAAACCAACTCAACAATTGGATCATATATTAAGGATCGGAGGAGTATATCATATCACTATGAACCCAGCACAGGCCTTGGCAAACATTTCAATGTTCCCTTTTGTTTTTTTAAATAAAATAAAATTTTGATTTTTGTGTCAATTATCAAAAAGTCTTATTACATATGAAATGACGATGTACAAAATCACAAGATTCACACTACTGAGTACTGACTAGTCATCAAGACATTTTGATAATTATATTATTTTTCTTAACATCTCACTGCGTTTTCTTATATAGTTACAACTGCATGATCCTGTCTAGGAAAATGTCAAGGTAATTGTGCCCAAATTTAAAACCCTTTGTTTACACGCCAAACTTAATTCTGAGAGATGTTTGTTGTATTTTTTTGCCATCAAGATGTTAGTTCTATTCTAATTTTGCTTTTAAAGAAAAACACATGAATTTGTAAGTATAAATAAAAAGAATAAATGCATTTAACAAAAAATTATTGTTTTTAATGGATATGTGATTAGTTTACTACTTTAGTTTGCGTTTCCAATATAAAATCACGTGTTATATACTTTCTAGTAAAAAGATTGTGAGCTGCAAAGAAAATTAAATATAGGGAACATCATTCTTGTTTATATTCCACCCAAGACAATTAAATACAAAAAAATTGCTTGAAATCATCACATTATTTTAAAATCCCAAAAAATCTCATTGCAAAAGATTCTATTTGTTTAATTATCAAATTACCCTCATCTTTTTTCAAAATACTACCTCCGATCTTTAATATAAAATTTTGTTTGACTTTTATTTTGGTTCTAAAATAAAACCCCAATCACTTTGTCTATCATATTTATGCATTTTTTTTTCAATATAATCCTTCTAACAATTATAATTCTAGCCAATACACTTTATTAGCATAATATTTTAGAAAAGACAACACCTACTTATTGCAGATAACTAACTTAACTTCTTTTCTTAGTCTCTTAAAATTAGTTAATTAACTCTTATAATTAGGACCAAAGGTAATATTTATTAACAACTGAAAGTACAATCATTAACAACTTAACATTTGACGATTAACAATTATCGTGATAGCTATTAACAACTCATACATTACATTTTTGTAACGCGCTGAAAAAAATATTTTGTTAATATCTATCATCATAGTTGTTAATCGTCATACCTTAAGTTGATAACGATTGTTTTTTCAATTATCAATGCACACTTAAAAAAAAATAAAGACCATCTAGTAATTAAACAAATAAAATCTCTGAATAATTTGATGATTTCATGAGACATTTTTTGTATTTAATTCTCTGCCTAGTGCTTGAAAGAAAGTGAGGCGCTGACTTTATTCTTGTCCAGGTCAAGAACTTCACCCTTGTCGGAAAACTAAAGATATGTACGAATCAAAAAGTATAAAGGAAAAATTGATATGTAAGTTTCTATAGTTTCATTTGATTTTCAGTCATATCTCTATAATTTCTCTCTCATGTACCAATCACCTGAAACTACAAGGACCCGATTAACAAACTAACATCAATGCTACAAATGCTTTTACTCATTTTTCTCTAAAACTCCAGTGTTTTTTTTTTTTTTTACCAGATAAGACTCCAGTGTGTTGAAATGCCTCTTTTCAAGAGAATTGGTAAAATGATCGGATCACAGAATGGTACATCGTCGAATCCAAAAGGATGGTAATAATCTGCTTGGCCAAAAGCGAGAGAACCACCCCCTTTGAGGGACATCATCAGGTGCAACTTCATGCGAATCCTCAGATGAGCTCCTCCCATCAGAATCTCCACGTCCTTCATCCTCCTCCTTGCTTTTACTTGTCTTCGGATCTTTATCCTCTTCGACAGCGACTTCAGCGATTTCTCCAGGTTTCTTGTCAAAAAGGCCTTTAAATTGCTTTCGAGCTTTCTTCTCAGCTTCCTGCACATGAAATGGTTTCAGAATCTCAATCTGCATGTTCGCTCATTCATTGTATAAGAAAACAACTTCTTCCCAACATACCTGCTCCTTCTGCTGCAGTTTAAGAAGAGCTGCTGTTGCATCAGGTTCGGTTGACTTGTCAACTTTCAGCATCTAAAATGTACCAAGCGATTTTAACAATGAATGTCCAGATTTATTCATTGGGTGATAATAAGGACAACAATATATGATGATCGTATGATGATCTTACCATGTTGAAATCATTCTTTGCTTCTTCAAAATCTCCAGCTGCCATGTAGGCCATTCCACGACGGTAAAGACCCTTGACATGCGCAGGGTTTGCATCCAGAACCTATGTTGTTCAATGAAGGGCACATGAAACGAGGTAAAGTTATAATGTACAACGCGAAAATAATTGCTAGGCCCTTGTTACCTTTTTTTTGGGGGGGGGGGGGGGGGGGCCAGGAGTAGGCCAAACAGGGTCTTCAGGCAATCAGTGTGTAGTTTTTTTGACCAAAAGTGTGAAGGAGTATTTTATAATGGGATAATTACAATAAGTCTCAAGGAAGGAAATAAATTACAAAACAAGTCCCAGAGATTGTTATTCTTCACTCTAGAATTCGTCATTACAGGCTGCTTAAGTTGTTATTAGGACTTTTTAATAATTATTTCTCTTTTTTGGAACTTGATTGTAATTCTCCTTTTTATAATCAGCAGTATGATGTAAAGCGTGCGCATGTGTATTGTCATTACAACCAAAAATAGAAAGGAAAAAGAAAATGAGACTAGGCCAGTCATAATGAATCGCTGAAGTTAGATAAGACTTTCTAGTCACTAAGGACAAGCTCCCATAAATTAAGAATGAAAAGCGTCCTTTAAACATGCACAGATGCACAACAACCAGCTAGAAGGAAGGTGATGAGGTGGACCTAGACCATGGAAGGGATTGCTTATAATTTGTTTTGGCCAATGAAACAACTCGGAAGTCAAGAATGAATAACCAACTTTTGCTATATTGTTCATTCCACTGAAACCAGTGATATTAGCATGAAAAGTAATGTCATCAAGCGTACCTTATTGCAAAATTCAATGGACTTTCTAATTTCTCCCAGTTTCAGATAGCAAGCAGCCACATTCAGGTGTAACATATTCTTCAGTCATGTGAGAGAGAGATTTAGTCCCACAGATAAAATCATATCAATACTGAGATAAAGCAGAGTTTTTTCCCCCAAAAAAATACTATACTGGGGAAGAGATATATGAAAATAAAATAACTTACACGCGTATCTGAAAATACTTTTCCTTCCTCATCATCTTGTGGATTGACATGATTAAATTCTCGAAGTAACTGGCATCAACTACCACAGAATGTTAAAAAGTTGGAAGGTACAAGGATATACTCTCATAGCTGATAATAAAAATCCTGGTTGCTTGCAAATCATGGTTAAGATCCTTGTTTATCTTCTTCTAAAGATTTTTCTTCATCTTTAGCAATTTATGAGGTTAGATTCTGATTTCATATTTTAATAATTTTTCTTCTTTCTTTCTACCTATCTTGGATCCCATCATTTGGTATTAGAGCTAGCCAATCCAAAAATGATACTCACCCACTCTGCTAGCTTTCTTGACAAATCTACACTGTCACCCGCCCCTTCATCCTGTTAGCATTCATCTCGCAGAAGATTTTCCTATGTATGATGGTGGAGATCCACAGGCATGGATTTTAAAGGTCGAAAAATATTTTTCAAACTATCGCACTTTTCAAGATCCACTGTTGGGAAGAATTAGTAGGTGTTATGGGGCAATCATGGCCTTACAGAATTCCAAAATCCAAATGAGTATCTCTACAGCATCAAACAGGCGAGGAGTATTCAAGAATATCGCTCAGTTTGCTAAGTGTTCTGCACAGCTTAAAATTGGCTAGACGATTGCCTCCTCGGCAATTTTCTCAGTGACCTCAATGAGGAATAAATTGAAGGCAATCATACATAACACTATGCACTGTGTATGAAGCAACAAGGTTAGCCCTACAATATGAAAAAACCCAAAGAGTAAATAGGCCCAATCCCAATTCCTCCTACAGTCAAAGTCAACTGACTCAATCTGGATATCAAGCTAACAAAGATGCACGTGACACTAAGGGGAATCATCTAGAACCATCATATCTTAACAAAGCAACTCCATTGCATTCGAATTCCTACTCAACCTGCAACTTCAACCTCATCTAAGTCAAGTTCGTGGGATTTGTTGCAGCAACAGAGGCGAGTTACAAGTCTCTGGCTCCAACGTGGAATTGCTTTCTGGTCTGCTTACAGCTGCAAGTCATCTTTGTTAGGACCGCATACATTTCACGGGACATTTGGGTCCTAAGATGCAAAAACGTTTTTGGGTCTGGCGACAGCAACTTGGAGGAAAGAAAAAATGATGAGTTTCTTTAGAGCCCAGCATGATAATTCAATTCCGGCATCTCAGTCTCAGATTAAACATAGAAAGTCATTTGACAGGAAATAATTATTTACCCAAGTCTTATAACCTTCTGGAGGTTGATGGTACTACTAATTCAGTGGGAGAAAGCTCATGCGGAGGAATCATAAGAAATGAAAAAAGAGATCGGGTTACATGTTTCTGCTGCAAATAAGAGAACTATTGGCCTATGATCGCCAAAATTAAGGGTCCCACAACTAGTTTACAAATCTAATGGTGAAGCGGAATAAGGAAGATTGCGGTAGTTATGGATTGTGCCCAAGCTATCAATTACATCATCAGAGAGAAAAATATCAAGGATCACCCTCTCAGATATATTAGAAGAAGGAAAGATGATGCTAACTAGAGATTGGTCAATTCTGTTGAGGTTCACTTGTAGGGAATTCAATCACATTGCTGACACATTTGCTAAACATGCTTTGTCCACTGATTGTTATTTTTGCATCTTTGAGCAACCCCCATCCATCTTAAGAGAGATGGCAGTCGATGAGAGATCTAGAATAGTATAGTACTTTCCAGATGTAATTTCTTGTTCATTTAATACCAGTATCAGTTTTCATTCCCCCAAAAATGTAAAATCAAACACTAACTTCTTAAACTGTATAACTTGATGACCCCAAGGATGGGAGCAGTGAGGATCAAACCCTTAGGCATCAAATTCCCTGGTCATAGTTATTAATAGTTTCCATGTGCTTTATCAGGTCACCTCCTAACCTAAATAGAGATATTCACCACAATATAGAGTTTCTTTTGCTTCCTCCCCCCCCCCCCCCCAATAACAGAATACAGCAGCACCACCAGGTGCTCTATCAAAAAATTTGATGGACTCCAGTCCAAGTAATTTACATGGGGAAGTCGTCAACAAAAACATAAAAGAATCATAATGCAGCAATTATACTTCATATCTTAGGTCAGGACAGAAAGATAAATACCTTTTCATACTTTGCCTTGGCAAGTTCATATTTTCCTTCTTTGAACAGCCTGTTACCCTGGAAGAGAATAACGTCAAGAGAGTGATGTAGAACAGGAAGAGTACAAATTAATTATCATAATAATCAGGATTAATTTTCCTAGATGACTTCAAGCTATTTTGAGTCAATCCAACGACAATGCGGCAACATTCTGTCACATTACAGCAAACAATCTGTTTTGGTAACTATGTTTTGTACCATTCTTGACACTGTTAATACTAGGCTGAAAACTAAACGCGGATTTGTCTACAGGTTCTTTTGCATACCGTGTTTCTGATCTTTTCAGCATCATCCATTATACTTTTGAAGTCAAATCCAGTCCAGTCCTGCAAAACAGGATGTGAAATGGGGAGGAAAGGGCAGAGAGAGGAAAGGCTGGGAAAATAGAGCACTGAAATAATAAAATAATAATAATTCAAATTCGAACTCAAACCCTAATCTAAATTAAATTTAAAAGATGACGATAAGAAAATCTAGCTAGTCTAGGTATCTTATTTTATTGAAAGTAAATAAATCTAAAATAATTCCAAGAAAGATAATGATAAGGAATCCAATTAAATCCTGATTAATCTAATGGCTATTCAAATTATCCTTATTCAAATAATTTTAATAAGCCTAAGCATCTAAAATTACCCTAATTATATTTTACCATAAAGAACTCGCTAGGAAGTGAGTTAAAATTGAGGCACAAATCTTGGAAGGGTTTAAAAATTCAATATGGTGTTTTGATCCAGAAATCCTTTCCAATGGGTGAGGTACTGAAAGAGAAAACCATGGCAGGAAAAAATACACCTTAGTATCACCTTACTCCAATTTATTTGAAGGAAAAGTTGTTTGCTAATCATATAAGGGCATAACCATTGCTGAATGATAAAGTCATTTTTGCCTCACATTTGAAAAATGATGCTACTATAAATACTACATGAAAATACGAAACAATTATGGTAAGTAATTTTAATTGAATTTTCTGAAAGCAGTCTTCACAAAGATTTATGTTAAAGAGTTGGAAGCACACCTTTGGCATTTCAAAACCAAGAAGCTCAATTTCCCATTGAATATTAGCACCCTCAGGAACATTTGCCGGCCTGATCACAAAAGAAAACCATCCAGTTACATTACACAGTACAACAAGAGAGAATGATAGTAAATCTTTTTGATAGAAAATATTCAACTAGTGATGTCCTGAATCAAAATGCTTTATAAAATCTCGATTGTAGATTCAGAGGTAGTTAAACTAGTTTCACTGACCTAGGAAACTTATCATAAGCAAAGTCTGGGGGGCAAGTGACGAGAGCCACCTCTCCAGGCAGCATCAGACGTACACACATTTCAAACCCCTCTGGCACCTATCAAAAATACATAAAGTTTCAGTGCAACCACCTTTGCAGAGCATTCATCTCTTCACCACAGTGGCTTGTCCATGAATAGGATAGGTAATTCTATTTTTCCAATAAAAGGAAAACCCAAAATTGATGTCAGTTGATTTGTGTTTTTGAAAACTCACAAGCCCTTCTCCAGAACAGAACTCCAGTGGTTGACCATCATTATCGACTCTTGTGTCATAGAATACCCTCTTTTCTTCATCAAGAACCATACCCTTGTAATGAACACGAAGTAGACTGTCATGAAGAGGGCAGTCCATTGGAAAATCACCTATACGTTTCAAAGAAGAGCAACATATATAAAAAGGGCATTGTAGGCGAAGAAGCACTAGCATTTAGAATACATGAATGCAGGCATAACATTTCTTATCTCTCTCCTTCATCCCACAATCTTCCCAAAAGCAGAAGAACAAAAATCATGAAGAGCTGTAAATGTGTAACTCCTAAACTCTATAATTAAAAGATTTTAACAATTAGCATAACTGGAGCATCAATCAGATAATTTCCCATAAACGATTTGTTCACACTCTTAATTATGAAGTTCCAATAGCTTCAGTTCTTCTTGCATAAAATGCGTTAACAAATAACTCAAAATGCACAAACTACCCACCTTTCCCATCACGAATACGCCGTTTTATTAGGCGGCCATCTCCAAGCATGTCTCTAACCTGTTAATATATACAAGCAATAACTGTCAACCCAGAAAAAGCTTCATACTACAAGCCTACATGTATAAAATGCTTGATAACCTAAATAAATGTAAACTACAGTTTTTCATGTTTAACTTTTGCAAAAATCTCATGAATAACGGAAGTATATAAATACTTCTTAAGTCACGGATGATTCAAACAAGAATGAAAAAGAAAACTGATATAACCGCTGGCATTAGGAAGACTTATGGGAGAAGAATGAGAAAACCAAGGGAAGAAGTTGAAACCACTGGTCAAATCAATTACCCCAGAGCTCCAGGAATTGAGGAACAACTCTGAGTGGCAGCTAGCCACTAGCCGTATGGGTCTTAAACCCTGTAGGGTGGGTAGAATTACTTTTGGGGAGCCTATATTATTTTGTAAGGAACTGACAGAGGGGTAAGAGAGGTTTTGGGAGAGAATATTGAGGGAGAGACCTGGCCTCTCGAATGCCATGGGAAGCTGCAGTATTTAAGTTTGCCATGATAGTTCCAGTGTAATCTTTTGTTGCTCGTTGTGATCTATTTTGTTAATCAGGGAAATAGGGCTTTGAGCTAGAATCAGGTGAAACTTACTGTATCTTGATTCAGTGTTGGAACATTAATATCAAAGCCTCAGGATTTTCCTCATTTATTACTGATCTGCTTCATTATTGTCAGTTTGTTTTCTGTTTGTTAAATATTAAAGCCGGGTCACAACAAAAACCTAAAATAATTGGGGGGGGGGGCACTTAATACTTGACTGCCTGTAGCGGTAATAATGAAAGCAACAATTTTAAATTCCCAAATAATTCATAAAACTTATAAAAATCACTGTATCACCCTAAATTTATGAAAATAAAAAAACGATCTTTATAATATTAACCAGGACAGCTTGAAAAGAAAGCTTACCATGACTGAGAAAAAAGAACATAATACCAACCATTTATCCATCTATATTAGGAACTCTCCAATTTATCAAGGGACTTGATTCCACTTAAGATAAAACCTTTTGGTGTCTATTATATAACATTAAGTTGATATGTCCAAAGAATGCTAAGGCAGCCAAAAGAAACTAGTTATGGGGCTAAACAATGAAAGCAAGAAAGTTAAATCAATGAATGCCATAAATCTCCATAACATTAATAAAGTACATCTGGTTGACATAATAAGTATAAAATGCTGAGATCAATTTATTTGCAATCATATTAGTTCTTGCCACTTTATACGCCAGTACAACAAAAATTTTAGTAATAAACCATGATTTGCAGAGAAAGATCTTGCTCACTTGAATAAAGTGGACAAGCTCTACTTCAAACTCAACTTCTTCATAGTCTTCATTCAGTGGCATCAAAGGAGACTGAGTTAGGTACTGACTACGAACAAATATTACAGCCTTCTCTTCCCGTGTCATTGTTCCTATTCCCATTTCAAGACCTTTAGGTACCTGGTTTGCACATCAGCAAGTCCAGATATAGGATAATACAGGTTATTTTTTCGTAAGTAGATGGCTAAATGTAAAATTCTAAAAACTAGGAATTGAATATAACATATATGCCTTTGTCATGTTTTATATCTTGTGAAATTTAAGTTTGGTATTTTATCCATATCCATGCCTTATAGTATTATTTACCTTTGGAAGTTAGTGCAACAATGGCTAAGTACATCCTTTTCTGGTCTCCTAACAATTTTTTCAGGCAGGAGAGGAAAAGGTGGGAATGGAGGAACTATTGGTGAAACAATCAGACCACAGAACTAAAATATTGGGCATACTAAAAACCAACATATATTTCTGCAAGCCAATCCGACACGATAATTATAGTGAACAAAACAAGGGAAGAAGCGAATCAACTACCTCTGATTTTCCAAAAGTAAAGAAATAAGGTTCTCCTTCTGTGTGGGACACAATCAACTTCCCCGCAACTGTCTTTGCTGATATCCTAACAAGAAAAGTAAGTCAGAAGATTCAGAACTTCTGGCAACCTATCATAGTCTGACATAAAAAATAAAAAAAATAGGGGAGAATGAGTTGCTTTACCAAGCTTTCACTTCATAAGGTTCTCGTGGAGATTCCCAACCCTGTCCTTCACATATCACCTGCACTCATAAAACAGAGTTAACTGTGAGTTTATAACACTTATAATGTAATTGAGACCATAGATTAAAATAATCACATCTACCTACCTTGATGAGGTGTCTTGTGATTGAACCTCACTTTCCCACAGTTAAAATTACAAAATATGGACATAATGTACTTACTAGATGCTATGCATATAGGCATATGCCAACTCCTATGTGGTTATTTTCTCTGCTGTTAGTTGCTTGGCGATAATTCCATTGTTTGCTTAAGAAAACAGGGAATTTTTGTTGGCTGATGAAATGGGAAAGGACTCATATAGAGACCGTTTCCTGTCTCCTAATTGACTAAATGTGACGTATACAGGATCACCTAAATTTCCAGTGAAACTCATTTTGCCAATCCCAAATTTCTCAACACTTTCTCAATAGAATACCCCCATATTCTAGAATTATTATCAAGTCCTTAAGACCATTAAGTCCACAAGCGTTCTTTTCTCTGCGAGTTACATTATAGAGCCAAAAGCTAGGGGCTATGCAAGTTGGCGGCATATATGTCCTTTCCAAATTCTTGCTTTATCATGCTGTTAACTACTATAATGAGAAATCCACAAATGACGGGAGGAGAGTGAAAGTTAAGGAAAGAGATGATTCATGATCAATATCCAATTTCTTTCCTTCTTTTTGGAAGCAGACTTATGCATTTTCCATTTAGGCTAATCCAAGATCATATGCGGAGGTACAACATAAGTATATATTTCATACAAAAATGTATTCTAGCCTCTTTTACCTTTTTTATAACTCCCAAGTCATCAGTAACAACCTGATGTAAGACACAAAAGACAGAAAAGTGCGTTAGATTATGGAGTCCAAGAGCACAGACATTGCAAAAGCAGAGTTGTACTATATACAATGGCATTCGTATCAAATACAGCTCAATACTTCAAATTGCATTGGGTATAATTGCAGTCACTATTAATAATCCAATGTTAAGATAGATTAGAAGAGAAAACACTTGATACTCTTCATATGGTATACTGCAATGATTATTGACAATTCAAAATCCACCAGTGTGCAAGAGTGAAGTGGAATCAACATAATTAGAAAAGAAAAGACAAGGAAAAAGAAAAAGAACTTAAAGTTCACAATCTTGCCTTGGCTTTGAAAAAATCTATCAGCTCAATTTCAAAATGAAGTTCGTCTTCCTTTGGAAACCCATCAGGAGCAGAAATAGGACAATCATCCTCACCATAATGCAACTGAGGTTTCATCTTGAACTGCAAGAAATAATAGTCTATGAAACTATAAGATAACATGCGAAAATTGAATAACTTATTTTCACCTAAAAGTACACACAAAATAGAACATTCTCCTAGTACATAAAAAATGGGGCTGGGGGACATCAGCTTAAAATTGTCCCTGTATTCAACCAAGTGCCATAGAATAAATTGTCAAAATGAATATACAAAACTGTCTGCTACTATACTCCCATTCTTCCCCTATAATGATTCATCCCTCATATTCGTATATGTGTAGTAGAGACAAAAATAGCCAAAAAAACAAGATTTGACCAAAGAACTTAGAAAAATTACCAGTATGTTTAATTCAAGAGCAAATAATCAGGTAAAGGCCTCATCTCTTCTTCTCAGTAATATTTTTCATAGTAATAAAGACTACAAAAATTATAATAAGAAATGCAACTTTTTATTGCATAAACTAGTGAACAACTTATATTGTCTTTGCATTTCAGTGTGCACTAAATAATGGTCTCCAGTTTAAAGAATGATAATATTAAAACTAATGAAAATGTCCCATTTTGTTGGGATTAAACATAAGACACAGTGACTTAAGCTTTAAGTTACCAGTACATAAGTAGAGATTCACAAAGACAAGGAAGTTCAATGACTAGCACGTTACCATTGCTACTTCACCCTTCAACATTGTTGGAATTCCTTCTAACAAACCCAATAACATCTTGCTTTTGCCCAATACATCTCTCATCGGGGCACCCTTCCCTGTTACAGTTAAGCAAGATATTATCTAATTTCAAAATAATGTATACAACAAAAAACAATCTAGCATTGATATTACCTGAAGCTGACAAAATGTAAAGTTGAAAATGGATTGTTTCGCTTAAAATTGGCAAGTTAAATCTTAAAATCAAGAGAAACCAAGAAGAGTTTTTTGCAACCTCCATGAGAGTTAAAACAAGATAGAGATGGAAAATACCGGAGAGTCACGGTAACAGTCAATTTTCTGAGAAAAATTGTAGTCAAAATTATTAAATTCATCCAGAGCTAACTACAAGAAATCCAAATATTCCAAGAAGATTAAAAGTCACCTCACCTCCGCATTCTGATCGGGTGGATTGCACAACTACTCCATCTAAAGTTCGAATTGTGCAATGATATACGATCTGAGACATATAACATGTTAATCTCTGCTATCCTAATTTCATGATGTACATTGACACAATTACATTATATCTATTGTAGAAGTCCACGGCAGCGGCCTAAGAAATACAGAAATAACCTGATCACCATCTGAAGGCGTCAAGTCACCCCCTCCAGGCCTCACTACAGCTTTCATCAAACTCCCAGGTACAATTTTCTTCTTCCTTTATTTACCCAAACGAAAAAAATTAGAACATTTCTCCAGCAATTCCAACCACAGCAAGTAAAACTAACCACATAAATGAATAAGAGAAAACTACCTCTTCTCTTCCTCTGAAGATTGCTTCTCTTTCTGAGGCACATATTCTCGTTCGGTATGTTCATTTACAGCCATAGTCAATTAAATTACGCTAATGTTACCAGGGTCTCTGTTCCCAAGTCCCTGCACGGTACAATTTGGTTCAAATTTGAATCTATAGATGACCCATTTTAACAGAACCTCCCCAAAAGCTCACTGATTTCAGTGTTTTACTCACTTAAGAAAAAAATGCGGGAAAGTTGGTAAATTGAAGGCACCTTCTCTCACAGTCACTTTCGCCAAATTCAGAGATTCACAAACAACTAAATAATAATCAATAAGTGAGGCAAAGTCGAATGCATAGCTTGGTTGATTTTACTGAAACAAAAGATTGAATCTTATAGCTTCTAAAAACCGCATTGAAAAATTCAATTTTGGGATAGCGAGGCGGATGAGTTTCTCCCTCACCTGAAGCACTCTCCGGTGATGAGAACAAAAGCCTGAGTGATCAGTATCAAGCCGTTGGCTCTCAGAAACCAGTGAAGCGCGCCAGCGGCAAAATCGAGGTGCCTTCCTTTTCCAACCTTATACGAGTCCGCATTAGGTAGTGACTGATCGTGCTCAGCCTTCAAAACGGCACTGTTGCGTGGAATTTCCCTTTTTTTTAAAAAAAAATTCTCTTAATAGGAGTTGAGCCATGTTTACAACTCAACATTTTAGAAAATACTTCTCCTTTTATCATAAATATAAAACTTATTTTATAATACAAATTATACTACAAAATAAATATTATATTTAGGACCTAAGTAGTACTAGATTTAACTTTTATTTTGATCTTAAATATAATATTTAATTTATTTTATTTTTTATATTTATTTGTTTAAGATAGTTTTATAATTAGTAAAGATATTTTAGAAAAAATAAAATCTATTTATTATAAATAATTAACATAATTAAGTTTTTTAATTTACTCAAATTAGTTAATTAATTTTTATATTAAAGACTGAAGATAGTATGTTGTTAATACCTGCCATGATAGTCGTTAATAATTATATTTTAAGTTGTTAATAACTATCAATTCATATTTAAAAAAATAAGGATAACTTAATAATTAAATAAATAAAATCACAACGAAGACTCTTAAAATTTCAAATTAATTGGATCATTTCAAGAAATGTTTTGTATTTAATTTTCTTGAGTAGCACTTATTGTAATTTTCTTAAAAATTAAGTCATCAGACAACTTAACAAAAGAAAAGGAGCGTGGAGCGATGGGGAAGGCCGGAAGGGGAGGCACCTGAAGGGAGGGGGAGATTCTAAAATGTAGAGCTGGAAACATGGCGCAACTCCTATGTAGAAAATATTTTTAAAAAAAAGTTGTACCAAAAAAAATTAACCAAGGAAAATAGAAATGCTGCGCAACGGTGCCGTTTTAAAGGCTGAGCAGTGACATCTAGGTGTTCAACTCTTAAGATACGTTTGGTACGAGGGATTTGAAGGGAAAGGGTGGAAAAAGAAAAGATTTTATTTTTTTTTTTGACAACACATAAATTTTAGGAGGAGAGAGAAGATTTTAAAAAAAATTTCCTCCCCTCCCTCCTCAACCTCCCCTTCAAAATTAGGAGAATTTGAAGAAAAATGACAATATTTTGCCATGCTGTGACTATTATGCTCATATTTTGTAATATTGTAACCATTATACCCATATTTTAAATAAAATAAGGACACCATATCAAAATATTTTTTCCTCTCCTACCCTCATAAACCAAACAAGATAATATCAAAACTCCTCTCCTCTCCTCTTTTTTTATAAATCCAAACAAAATAATATTAAAATCCTTCGAATCTCCTCCTTTCTTTTTTCCTCTATTAAAATCCTTTTCCCCCTTTTCCTCTCATTAGCCAAACAACCCTTAGTGTACCAAAAGAAGGAGTGGTTCCTTCTCCTTTGTCCTTTACACACCTTTTAGTTAGGGGCGGTTCCTTCTCCTTTGTCCTTTATATTCAGGATCGCGACAGTAAAAGTAGGTTTAAGCCTGCTTCCTCGTCAAAACGAGGCAGGTAACACTGTCCTAGAGCAATTTGTTGTTTACGGTGAAAATGTTTTTTTTTTTAATTTTTAATTGTTATGATAAGTACCTTTATAAATTTCTGAAAAAAAAAAGACATACCTTTATAAACATCTCAAATTGAGAAATAAATGACTGTTTTTATAAGGATTTTTTTGGGTGCAATTTTATGAGAAACCTTTTTTTTGGGTGAAAAATTTTATAAGAAACTTTTAATCAACACAAGATGGCGTATGATTAAAACCCAAGGAGAATTTCATTCAGGGCTCCACAAGCAGTAGTATATCATGGGGTAAAAAAAACGCCCTTAGAATTATGAAACATCATTGCAAATCCAAAGCTGTCATCTGAAATAAATTTGTGGTTCAATTTCTAAAATGCTTTCTCAGCTCTATCGCTAAGCTTTCAAATTAATTTCTAAACTACACCTGCATGATATAGAATGGGGCCTAGGCTGATTCCACTTAAACTCCGTTTGGAATAACTTTTAAATAACTATTTAACCATGATTTATGAAATATGAGATAAATATATGAGAAAAATTTTATCTCAATTTCTGTGAAATATGTTTATAAGTTATTTTAAACATGATAGCAAACGAAGCCTTAACTACAAATGAATTTGGACAAAAATAAATAAATTACCCAATTGTTGTTTAAGAATCACTAAGCACATCTGCTTATTTTAAAATGCTTATAAGCACTTTCATGTAAATCAAGACAAAACTCTCCTAATATTCTTACTTCGTATTACGTAAATCACAATTAAAAAGCTATTTATAAACTATTCAAAACAAATCCTAAGTGATGCTAAACTAAATAATAACTACACTATTGTTTATAAGATTTTTTTGGATTATGATATGAAAGGTGAAATAAGGTCCGAGGGAGTTTGGCAGGCTAAAAAAGAAGCACTTAAAAAATGCTTTTAACATACTTACCTCATTCTTTGTAAAATGTTTTCCAAAAAGCTAGTTTAAACACCTTTTCAGAATGTTATCTAAGTGCCTTTTTACCTAAAAACGACCAGAAAGGATAATGAAGTCATCCTTCAAGAAAGCTTATCGATCATAATTCCATTAATGTAATCAATTTACTAGATATGTTTAGTTCACTGAAAACGTTTAAGAATGCTTGACATCCTCTGGATTCTTGCTTTTGGACTAAGCACAAGAGAACAACTCATCACACATCTAATATGCATAAACCAACCCATGCAATCAACTTCGCGTCTAGTAACAATGAGACAACTATGCATGGATACCATTATGAAGAGGAGGATTTGAGACGAACTCTTATTAATGGATTATTAATAGTGAATTATAATTTTTGTTGCCAAAATATTAATTAATGGTGAATAGTGAGACGGCTATGCATGGATGTCATTATAACCATGAAATTAGAGCTCGGGCCAAATCGGCCGCCAAGTAACCAATCTGATTGAGTATAGGAACCAGGGTTAAATTGACCCTAGTGTGACCTGATTAACCCAAGGGCTAACCTGACCGGTTTGGTGGGTTAACCAGAATGCTTTTTTTTATTAGAAAAAAACTATTTTGATGAAAAATTTTCTTCTTTTTTTTTTTGAGTTATTGATAATTTTTCCTTACTGATTGAATGATTGTAGTAAACAATATTTTGTTATCATATATCTATTTTGATATTTTGTTAAAATGAGTATTTAGTGATTTTCATAGTATGGGAATAGTGAAAAAGGTTGGAACAAAATTGTAAGTATTGATAATTTTATTAATGATCTGAGGTACTGAATTAATATTTAGCTCTTGAATGATATGATAAAAATTTAAATTGTTTTTAAATTATTTTATCTCACCTGTTTGACTCTTAGATTGACTTTGATCTAATCCACTGTCTTGACCGGTTCAATGACTTTTGATTTTTAGTACCTTGATTATAATGGTTATATGGGAAATAAAACATTTTATGATAGGCCTAATGGAAAATAATAAAAGTATTTTAATGGGCTGAACATATTTAGAAAAAGGGTTACAGTGCAAATTTACCCTTGAAATTTTTAGTCTGAGCATTAGGCACTTAGAATTTTTTTTTGATACAAAGTTATCTTAAAAGTTTAAAATCATAACAATATTATCTCCTCCTGATAAAAATGTTAACGATCGATGTTACTATTTTAATAGAAAACATTATTTTTTAACAATATAAGGCGATATTATTATGAGTTTAAACTTTATGAGAAAATTTGCCCAAAAAAAAAACTTTTGGTTGTCAACACTCTTAAGTAAAAACTTTGGGGCAAATTTACACCTTAACTCTTTAAAAAATCTGCTAAAATATGTTTGATCTCTTAAATTTGCCTCAAGTTTTAATTTAATCTCTCAAGTCTTAAAAAGTGTATTTTTAGCCTTTTAATTTTAATATCATTAATAACATTCAATGAAAAAAAAAAGCACGTTCTGAATTTTAATTTTTTAATAAAATTATTTTTATATTTAAGTTGAAAAAGTGTCTCTTTAGTCCTTTAGGGGGTGTTTGGATATAACCAAACTATAGTTTGGAGAATAACTTCTGGAGAATAGATTCTAGGGAGAATAGATTTTTTGAAGAATAGATTTTGTGAAAAAGTGATTCTGAGAAGTGAGAGTGTTTGGATAGTTGTTACCAGAAGCACTTTTTACATGTACAAATTACTAAAAAAGGCATAAGTTAATATGATAATTACAGAAAAAATATATTTTATGATATATTGTAATTTGAAGGAATAAAATTGTTAATAATATATTTTTTATTAACATAATTAATAATACATAAGATAATATAATTAATATGTATATATATTTATAAGATATAAGATTAAAAATATTTATAAAAAAATATGTTTATAAAAAAAACAACAAGATACATATCCTATAAGCTCTCACACTCTCCCTTTTTTTTTTTTCCAAAAGCAAAAATTTTTTGATTTTTCCAAAACCATGGTTTTGGAGCCAAAACCATAGTTTTGGTTTTTTTTAAAGGTGTTTGGGTGATTTTTTTCCAAACCATAGTTTGGGTTATCACCCAAACACCCCCTTAATATCATTAGTCCCATAACGGAAACTAGTGACTTGACAAATTTAAATGGTGACTATGTAATTAAATACTGACAAGACATGTTTTAAATTAATTTTTTAATATAATTATTTTTCATAAATTCTTAAATTTTAATATCTTGTTTCCAAAATAATTTTTTTGAAAACAACAAAATACAAAAAAATTGTTTAGTAGTTTGTTTTTAGCTAAGGCTCTATTTGGTTGAGGGTTTTTGAGGAGAGGGGAGGAGAGGGTAAAGGAGGGGAGGAGATAAGTGTGTTTGGTTGAGAAAAATAGAGGGGAGGGGAGGGAAGAAATTTGTCTTTTAATGCTCCCCTCCCCTCCCCTCCCCATGCTCTCCTCTAAATTTGGGGTTTTTTAGAAGGGAGAAAAATATTATGTCTAACATTGACCAAACTACACATACTAACTTTTCAATATTCCAAATTTGTCTATCTTATTAAAAAAAA